CTCTAAGGCAGTATGGAATCTAAAAATTATGAAAGGTAAAACTTAAGGCATCATGGGTACAAAGAAGGAGCTGCCTCAAAAAGTTTTAGTTGGGAGTCCTGCATCAGGGTCACAGTAAAAGCTGCACAGAATTTGCTAAGTTTGGAGCAAAAGCTGGGCAGGCAACAGAAGTGGGGCGATGAAAGGGCACAATACTTGCAATTATACTCACGGACAAAGGGGAATTGTGGCTTAGTGCAACCAGGCAGGTGGAGGTCACATCTGTCTCAGAACAAGGGGTGGCCAACAGGCAGAATGATTTTCATTCTAAGGTTCAGTAGAAGGCTAAAGCTATCACAGACCCCAACAAAACTGGAAGAGAAGAGCTCCAGAGAACTCAATAACCAAAATATACATAGAAATACATATATACATACATCACTGACAAAAAGCATGGGAAACACGACAGAAAGGAGAAGCAGCAGAAATGGACATAAGACCGAGAGCAAGAAGTGCCTGAAGTGATTTATTTAAGTGATGACCAAAGGCAGTGTCCCACTGGCATCTGGAGCTAGACACCTCTCTGCAGGACCAAACCTTGATGGTTTCACATGGAAAGGGTTCATGGGTCTGCTCCTGGCAGAAGGTCCCACTGGATGGGGGCCTGGGGAGGTGCTGCCGGCCTCATGAAGGCGGCAGGCACACGGATGCAGGATGCGGCTCCGCGCCTTTATCACTGGAGTCAGATAGTTCCTCCGTGGGGTGCAGGAAAGCGGCGCTCTCCAGCCTTGCAATGAGCCACTTCCTCTTTTCTTTTGTTAGGATCGCAATTTCTTTTCTCTTCCTCCTCCACCTCAAAAAAGCGGATATTTAATAATTGGGTCGGAAGAGCTTGCTATCCTGAAGCGATGGGTGGTAGTGGTGCTGCACCTAAGTGACATCATGCTGTCCGCCTGGCCAAGTCCTCATCCAGTAAAACACAACTAATTATTCTGCCAGATCCCTGGCCAGATGACAAACTGATTCACGGCACTAACTAAAAGAAAAGAAGGAGAGGAAAATGCACCATTTCCTACGACTGAAACTACATTAACCTGTTACCCCAAGGAAAACTCTGTCCAAAGTTTTTCTTGTGGCGGTTGAGCTGTATGCCAGACGGCTGAAATGCATTGCCAGAGACCCCAGTGCTGTGCTGTGAAAGTTCACCTGCAGAGCACAGCTTTCATTTGATATCCATCAACATTCAGAGGAAAAAGATCTTTTTCCACAACACCTGCAGAGTATCTTTTATGTCAGAGGACCTAAAATTGTTATCAGAAACTGCTAATTAAAACTTAACAAAAGCAAATACCTGGTTTTCTAAGCTGACTTCAGGACACTGAAACCTAAAAGTACCAGGGAGACTGCTGCCAATGAAAGCTTTTACTCAATCTGTTAGTCAATTCACAAGGGAAACTTTCCTGAATACCTCGAGAAGTCTAAAATTACATCATTACGGCAAGGGCACACCAGTATGTTGACTATTAATCATTTCCAGGAAGATGACTATCAGAAAGTCATTCTTAATAGCACCACTGCCTGGCAACATTGCTCACCCCAGGAGGGGGTATCTTAGATTTCCCTCCCATGAATTTCCTCTTCAAGCAAATTTCCACCCCTGCCAGAAGCCTGCAAAGCAAATGCACTGTTTCACAGATTCTTCTGACAAAAGACTGGATTCACACAACACCCTACAATTATGACTAACTCCCAAACTCTCACAAAGCCATTCTTCTCTGGCAGGAGTGAGAGATACACCTTGTCTAAAACAGTGAGTGCTGCTAGATTTTGCATGTTCACCTCTGCTGCAAAGACATGTGAGATACCTTCTCTCACCAGATGTAACCTCAGGTAGGATACCAAGGTTCAGCATTGCCCAAGCTGCTCTGAACTTGCTCCTTAAATGAAATAACCAAGACTTGTTCACCATGCACATATGGCCATAGCATCATTCCCTTTCAAAAGCTTGGACCATGACAAAAAGAAGAGATGGTAAAGAGGGAGAGATGGAGGAAAAGAGGACAGGAAGACAAGACTCTCATGGCTATCTGGAACACTTAAGCTTGTGAGAGGTGAGAACTCTTCCCACCACTACATGAAGCAACTGAGAAGAGCAAGAAAACAAAGACAAGCAAGAAGCAAAGCATATTGCAACAAAGGAGGAAGAGATATACAGCACATTGGTAAAATCACAGATGGAGTGTTATTCTTGTGAATTACAATACAGAAGAATAATATCCTAAATGGAAACTATGATACAGTGGGGTGAAATACAGCAGTCTGTTACAGCAGCATAGAGTCAAGTTCACAAGCAAAATTCAGAGCCCTCCCAGCTACCTTTGATTCAATGAGTCTTGTGATCTGCTGCTCCGTTCCTCCAAGGGTTACTGATGCAATGTGCCAGATTCCGTGTTTCTTTCCAACTGTTCTGAGTCTCCTGCATCTGATCTCAAAGAAGGGAGCAGAAACAGCTGGAAGAGAGAAACCAGAATGGCATATTCCAGCAGCAACCCTTGGAAGAACAAACAATGACAGCCTTGTGAGAGGTGCCACTGTACCCCTGGTACATACGTTTGCATGTGGAGGTGGATTCACATGTCTTCTAGAAGAAACACATGTTGCTCTGGCTGGTCACAGAGTATCACAGCATCTTTGGAGTCAGCATGATCAGTGCAAGCTGAACAGACTGACAGCTCAACAGCACAGCCAGGATCCACAGTCACGGATGCCAAACAAGTAACACGTGCTAACTGCAGCCTAATTTGGGCACCATACTTCTCCTCTAGTGTATCTTTACTTCCTGAACAACTCCACCTACTTTGCAGCAAATGAGCAGCTTGCAGCCCACAAGGGAACTCAGTCCAGGTCTACTCTGTTTAGGCTTTAAAGTTACTGTAGATCTAGCTGCAGGCCAAAGGAGGAGAGCAAAACCACAGGTGAAACAGGAGACAGAAGGAATAAGCTTCTTCAGAGAAAATTTAGGTATTTGCTGCCAAAGGGGAGGATTAGTTGTGAACATCAGGAAGTCAAGGAAGCAGAGAGCAGCAGGAGGCCACTGCAGATAATAGGGACAGTAGGAGCAAGGCTATTGCTCATCAAGGCACATGATGGGGGAGAGAAAAAGGTCTGTGCTCCTTCATATGTGCAAGGACTAGAAAGAGGGAGTGAGGAGGTCATAGAGATGGTGCTGGCGGAGGAAGGGCCGTGAGGAAAAAAAAAAAAGCCTTTGAAAATGAACCATGGAAAAGTGATTACTAAGGGAAGAACTGTCAGGGTTGGTGTTAGGACCTCCTCATTTCCACTAGAAAGAAGTTAAGACGTGGCAACTCACAGCCAGATTTGGGGAAAGAAGACCAGGAGCACAGCAAGACTAAGACAGGTGTCCTTTAAAGGACAGAGTATCAGACAGAGAGTATATCAGATTAGGATGGCTGGTAGGATAGAACAGAAAACAAGTTTAAGGGCTCACAGGATACTTAAGGCAAGACAGATGAAAAGCTCTCTTGCCAGCATTACATCAGGAATCAAAGGGAAACTTTTTTCTGACTTTCAACTTCCTTATAACCAATTCCTAGAAAGCATGGGTGCACCACATCTCTCCAGGACAGTGCTACCGCCACGAGCCCAGTCCTGGCACTCACAGCACCATTTCTAGAGGGGTCCCTCAACTCCACATCCCTTTTTTTCCCCACAAACCTACTGCCTTTTAACTGCAAACAGCACTTCCAAGTATCGAGTCATCAAGGCAGTAAGAAAATGAGTACCTGGAGTATTGCAAGTCTGCCAGTCCCCTGAAGAGTTGGCTGGAGGTGTCCGGTGTCGGTAGACAAGATGTGGTTTATTGTGCTCTTCTTCATACTCCTGTTCCTCAAGTGATAGAAGTGGCTCTACAAAATAGTCCCCATCATCAGACTTGAATGTGCCTAGCTGAGGGGGACCAGAGAGAGGAACAAGAGGTCAGCTTTGCGCGATGACAAGCCAGCTGGCAGCACTACCCCAGAAAGCAAGCAGTTAATGAGGGAGGTGTGCCTAGTTCTGTGGTAAACCCTGTGAAGGCAAAGCTGGAGCTCCAGCTTTGGTTACACTGCTTGTATCCACCCTGGGCTGCACAGCCATCCCACTGGTGCTTAGAGAGGGCTAATTACTAACCCACAGGCAGGGAGCATGAGACGAGAGAGGCATGTCCACCAGACCCTTATGCCAGTGACATTTACAAGCCAGTTCTACCTAAAGGATGCTGTGTGCTGGAGGCGCCAGTGCAACCCCATCATGTGCTGGTTTCACACAGCACATTTCCATGAGACAGGCTTATAACCAACATGTAAGGACCAGAGGAAGTTGTGATGCTTATACCATCAATGCTCCTAGTTGCATACAACTATGAATGCACATATTTGGTGGGTAAATAAAAAAATTTCCGAAACAAAACATTCTGCAGCCATCCCATACTGCTGTCCATCCCTTCCCTTCAGGGAGGAAAGCCACATACACGTGTGCCCAAGCCTAGGTGAACACATGCATCAAGAGGAACCCCTGGATTGAATGAAGCCAGAAGAAACCTCCGGGGAGCCCTTGGGATTGGCACCCCGTGGGACTGAAAGGCACCAGGACAGACAGAAGAGTCAGCCCTTTTAGGAGCTTCTGCGCATCCCGGTGCCAACATCGCCGCACCGAAGGGCACCCAGCTAGGGTACCAGGGAGCGGGACATGTCCCGGGTGCTGGGTGGCTCCGGGACAAGCGCTGGTGCTAAGCCCGCAGCCACCGCTCACCGGCACTCCCGGGGGCAGGCGAGGTCCGTGCCCGAGGACCGCCCCCTCCGGGTGTCGGTGGATGGCATTTTCCCCCCAAAATCCGCGGAGCAGGAGCGGCGCACCGCGGAACCCGACCGACTCAGAGCGGCGTGGGAGCAAGCCCCGGCCGGGGTGGGCCGGAGCGCCCGCTGCCGTGAGGGGAAGGGGCGGGCGCCGTCGCTCTGCCCGCCCGCCATCGCTCTGCCCGCCCACCTTCCCTCCCTCGTCCCGCTCCTCCTCCTCCCCGCTTCCGCCCCTGGCCCTCCGCGGGGCGGGGGTCTCACCATCCCGGAGCAGAGGCTGATAACGGCGGTGAGCCGAGGGCGGGCGTTGACGTGCCCCCGGTAGAAGCAGTGCTTCACATCGGCGTCGGCCGCCTCGGCGTAGAGGCGCCGCTGGTCTGCGGCGGGCTCTCCCAGGAGGCTGACGGTGAAGAGCGGGGCGATGAAGGCCGAGCTGGCCGTCAGGTTGAAGAGGAACTGCTGCCCGAAGGCGGACAGCCTGTAGTGTGCCTTCGGGGAGTCGGCGACGGCCGCCGTCCAGGCGTCGGGGGCAGCACTGGTGCTCCGCCGGCGCCGCCTGAAGTGGACATCGGTGGGGAAGGGCTCACCGAACTCATTCACTCGGGTAGGAGTCACGATCTCGTACTCGCTGAGCTTCTCCAGCAGCTGGGCTGCGAGGGGACAGACGCTGAGTGAAGTGGCCGTGCCCCGCGGCCCCGGGGGGCGGCAGCGCAGCACTCCCCGCGTCCCTCCCCGAGCACCCCCTTACCTTGCCTGGGGTGCAGCTTCTGCCTCCTCGCTCCCGTCCTCAAGCCGTCGATGAAGAGCGTGGTGAGTGCCAGCGCCAGCGGCGCCAGCTGCATGGTGCTGCGCGCTGTCCTCGGAGGAGCAGCTTTCCCCGCCTCCGCTTCTTCTCCTCCTTTTTCCTCCCTTTCCCTCTTTTAATTTTTTTTTTCTCTTCTCCTTTCTTGTGGCCCCCCTCCCGGCCCCCGGAGCGCTGCCGCGGGAAGGCGCAGGAGCCGGGCGGCGTTAGGGGCGGGCGGGCCGGCGGCGCGCGGGGCGCCGGGGGCCGCGCATGGTGCGCGGGGGCGGACGGGCCGGGGTCGGGACCGACGGGCCGGGACGGGGGAGCCGCCCGCCCGCCCGCCTGCTCTCCCTCGCTTTCCGCCTCTCCCCCCGTCGGGCTGGTGGACGAGAGCTGCCGCGACTCTCAGTTTAAAAGGGGCGTGCTCCATAGATGAAGCCCGCCCTCCTCTGCTCCCACCCGCTCCACTCCTTCCAACATGACACTTTCTTTTTTCATTGCTGGCGAAAGCCGAAGTCGCAGGTTTTAGTCAAGAAAAGCCGTCGCTGGAGCTGGACGGAGCGGGCGGGGGAAGTCCGAGCCACGGCTTCGCACACCCTGGTTCGGCAACCGCTCCCCGCAGGCTCCATCCAAAAGGCTTTAAAATCCCAAAGCAGCCCAGGCAGAGCGGCACCGGCAGCTGCCTGCTCTGCCAGGACCCGGTGGGGATGAGTCTCTTTGTCACTCACTGGGAGGAGAGCTGGGTTTTCTTACCTAATTAACGTTTTCCCTTTTTTTTCCCCAAGGCAGCTTGAAGAAATGGATCAGGAGTTGAAGAATCCCCTGTGTGGCACTTCTTATAGCAGTTGTTTTCTTATGCATTTCTCAGATAAGAGGCACTTCAAGCAACTTTTGTTCAGGATGAGATTTGTGTTGTGCACTTTTCAGGCACCCTGAGGGAAAAGGAACTCCAAATCTGAGTTTATTTTATCCTGTTTTACAGTTTGAAAGGTCTCTGTAAAAATTTTAGACATCCTTTAGAACTAAATGTAGTTAAGGGTTGTCTTCTACCCCTTCCTCAAATCAAAACTCCCAGCCTTGGTTTAAAAGGTTTTTAAACATTTAAAACCTGTAAGCAAGGCAGAAGAGAAGTTCGAAAGTTCAGTTTGCACTTCCATAGAAGATGTCAAAGTTCTTTGCATTCTTTGCTCACCTTTGGGACAAGGCACAGAAATGCTGGTATTTGCTGCAGAAGGGGAAAGTTCTAAAATAAAATTCAATTCAGAATCCACTTCTGGGCAAAATGGTACCTCCTGACTCTTCAAAACAACTAGTGAAGTGCTACAAATCTCAACTATTAGGAGTCAATTATTAATTTTGTATGATGAATGTAAAACTCAGAGTAAATAAAGCATCACCTGCAAAGCTGTGCATCTTCAACACTGCTACTGGCTGACCATGGCTGCAGCTCTGGTGGCAGAGCCTCGACAGTGCAGGAATCTCCAGGATTGTGGAGACCAAGTGAGCACATCCTTAGGGCAAGGTGTAATGGCACATAATCTCCCTGCATGGCCTTGTGCCCGCATTTATAAACCAGGTTTAATTAAAATCTCGGATACTTACTGGGAGATAACTCACCCATACCTCCCTGAGCTGCAGTGCTTGGCAGAGCACCCTGAGCCCTGACCACCTTCCCACAATCTCCACATGTACTCCAAAGCTTTCAGTCTTCACAGAGAGAGATACACGCAGGGTGCTTGAGCTTGGGATAATGCTCCAGAAATCATGGTGGGAGAAGGAAGGGTAGGCTGTATCCCAAACTCAGGTGGGTGTGGACTCATTTCCCAGGTGTGCCAGGGGGAGCCTGTGCTGCCATTTGGGCGTGTGGAGCAATACTGAGCAGCCAGTCAGCAGCGGGGGAGTGAGGAAAAGTGAACCGAGTTGCCTTGGGAAGGAGAGGTGAAAAGCTGAGCATAGCATCAGGGCTGAGTCAGAGGGGAGGGGAGGAGGCTTACGTGGGGCTAGTCCTGTCAGTGTCTGGGTAAGAGGGGTGCAGCCCTCAGTCCTCTGATCAGCACAGTGTTGGGAAACAGGTCTGGACTATCTGGGCTGCAGAGTGCCCCGGGGCATCCCCATTTCACAAATATCTCACATCCCACCACTCAGCCTCAGCACCCCCCATACCAGTCAAGTGCTAGTGACAGCTGCCTTGCTTCTGTTCAGCTCAGTCACAGGAAAATTTATCAAAGCTTTGGAGGTTTTTTCCCCTCAATTTTCTACAAAGTGACCAGTTAATTTGGCTCTGGGGTGAGGTTTGATGGAGCTCAGGAGCTGGTAGAGGCTGAGAAGTGACAGCACATACCTGTGACTTGGTTGGGTAGGACCCTTTCTTTTTTGCACTGCGCTGAATAGAGCAAGGTTGTTTTGTGGAGCATCCTCACAGGGCCATCCACTGATCTGAAACCACCACCCTGAGGGAAGGCAAGAAACACAACTCCATCATTCAGAAGAGAGGATCCAGCTCATGGGACTCCATTATGGGGCAGAGTTGGGAGCAGTCTGAACACTCCCAGGACCAAGTCCTGGCTTTGCAATGTCACTAAACATACATCTATGCATTCCATGCAGCATGGCATGACTTCCAGAGCCATTTCCATCAATATGCACAAGTTGTATGTTGTGTGGCATTTTGAAACTTTACAGCTGGAGATTAGTAAGTGCAGAATGAAAGCTGTACTGTAAGTAAATAGATTATGTGGAGCTTAGAGAAACTAAACTGCAATCTTAAATTCAAATAACTTTCCTCTTAGGAAGTATCTATTAATACTTACGGTATGGCAATTGTGCAGACTCCAAGTCCTCACCCAGTCAAAAGTAAGACTTAAGAGCCCATACCTACCCATGGAAAAATCCCCTTAAAACACTGGGAATTTTGCCTATGTAAATACTGCAGAACTTGAGCTGCAAATGCCTCTTCTATAAACTACAAAATCAGAACTTGATCACAACAGCAAAACTTCAGTAAGAAATTTAAGGCAGTGCATACTGCTGCAAGAATACACTTGAGGAACCCAGATTTCCTGAGGTTTTTGCACTGCTTTTCCCCCTTGTTACCATTTCATTTTCCCTATAGGTGAGGCCATCCCCAGTACTAATCTTTGTTCTTTGTGGCTCAGCCCCTCTGGGTAAGCATCATCTTCCTTTATCTGCTGCATCCTCTTGCTTGCCCAACGATTATCCCACAAGGCAGACAGTTTCCCTTTGATGGTTGCTCTTCAATGCTACAAGATACCTGGAATAGCCAACTCTTCTTCTGTCTAATCTGTGTGGTCAGAAAGTGAAAGATTTCATTCCCTTCAAACAACTGACTACCCTCTCCTGCCTCTCATTCATCTGCTGGTGCTGGTAACAAGGATACCACTCTGGGCTGCCTTTCTCTTTGTTTTGGAAGCTCTCATAAGGGCTTCTCTTTAAAAGACATTTTCAGCAGTTGTGTCAAAGATGGATTTTTAAGTTTTGTAAGCCTTTCACATTTGTTTGGAGGGACTGAAACTTGTAAGTTCTCGGTGTATACCTAATTTTCAAACTCATCTGTGCCAAGCCAACTCTTTTTGATCCTCGTTAAAAGGATTTAAATACACTCATCTACTGTAGTCCTTTAAGCTCCTGCTTCCTCCCTGGGCTTCTCTTCTTACCCCATGTAGTGTGCTGCTGCCATCAAGGTCTGAATCACTGGGTTGTTTGGGAGTTTGCTCCTCCAACCATAGGAGGCTGAGAAGTGCTCCCTGCCATTCCCAACAATACCAGCACAGCACAGCTGTCACAACTTGCCCTCTGTGAGCCCATATCCTGGTCCCCATTTTAGAGCCAATGGCTGGGGGAGATGTGAAATGATGTGCCAGGATGCTGCAGAGCCATCGGTACCATCCCACTCCCCCGAACACTGAGATGTGCAGATGAGGTGACTAATTCAAGGTTATCCAGGGCAATAATACCCAAACATCCTTCATCTCAGTCCTGGGTCAAACTCTGCAACTCAAACATCTTCCCAGCCAGAGCATTGCAGCAGGAGCTGTGCCCTGTGAGAGCCATCCATTGCTCCACACACAGGTGCAAGGATGAGCACAGTGGAAATGCAGTGTAGCTTTGTCCTTGCAGATATCATCCCTGCTCTGTGCCTGCATAGGGAATCACCATTTGGGAACAGAAGGCAAAGGAGGGAACGCGGGGAAGCCTGTTCCACTGCTCCACTCACGTGCAAGGAAACTGGCCTTCAGTTTGCCTCAGAAACAATCCTGGAAAACAGATACATGAGTAGGAACTAGGGACTGGGTGGGAGGAACAGCAAAGCCCACGTAGACACTGCAAATGTGTGGGATTTTCATCTTCAGGTCAGCACGGATGGACATAATAATCCCTTGAGGCTCTCCACTTGAAACTGCTGGTTCCAGCTTGCCCCTCCCCTGCTCCCAGCATTGTTGCTGACTGTTCATACACTGCTGCTTTTCCTTACACCTCTTATCTGCCACGTGGAAAGTGCTCAGGGTAGCCCAGCTTCTGGGTCTCGCTGCAGCCTGGCAGTTCCTTTGGCCTAATAAGCAGTTATTGATCCCATCTCCCTTTTTACTACAGGTCAATCTGAGAGAGGTCCTAAAGAAGCTACGAAACACTTAATTCTGAGTTTTCCCATTTTTGTGCAAATTAAGCCACATCAAGCTAAACATTATATTAGTTTATCTTTTGTGTTTGCAATGTCACTTTGCAATGTCACATGCAATAAGTCAAACAGGACCTGAATACACTCCTCATGACTTTTGATATTATGTACTTATGCATCTACACTATGTTTCAGGTGCCTTTGCCAAAACATTAACAGTAACACTAGGAGGACTAAATAGAGCAGATGTTCTGTAATCCCACACCAAAAGGCAACCTGGGAATGTTGGAAATTATACAGGTACAAAAAGCTTTATCCCTCGAGCCATGTACTTTTGTTATATAAACAAATTATCATAACAGCTCTGTGAGGTGTCACCATCACCTTATGAAAAGAAGACTGAGATGACTGATTTGGCAAAGAACATGGGGTCATAGAGCTCTGACCTCATGGTAGTTCCACCCTCCCTCTCCATCTTGTCTGCAGCCTAAGTGTATAATGTAATATTTCAGTGCAGGGATCATTAAACTGTAAAACTCTATTTTAGGAGGGTTGTTTTCATTCTTTTCCCAAATAGTAGATTGTCTCCAGAGATAACAAAATACAAATATCCAATAGAGCAGGGAAAAGGCTAAGCAACTTTACAGATATCAAGTTCTTTTTCCCTACACTGTTTGATTTCCCTGGGGGTGTAACAAAGTACCCAGCTAAAAGCAAAGACGTCTCCCTGGGGGAAGTCTTCACAGTGTTGTCGTATTTGTATTGTGGTAGGAAGTCTCTACCAGTTATAAAACTGTCAAAAAATTGTCAATGGCCAAAAAGTTGGGAATGTTTTAGGCCTAATCCAGTGCCTGTCAAAACTCATCATCAAAATTTCCACTGACTTGGAGAAGTGCAGAATTTCTGTCATTTCCAGGAACTATTTTACACCATCACATCTTGCTCATTAATATCCACCTGACAAGCATATATAATATCCAGTATTTCTTTACCAAGATGCAACAGCTTGAAAAAAAAAAAAAACCAAAAAACATTTCCTTTTTTAGCTTAGAAAAATGTCTGTGCTCGCTAAGTTGCAGTACCCAAAACTAGGGTGTTTTAAAATTCTTCTCAGGTAGTTGAGGGTTGCCAGAACAGATGGGCACAGGAAGAGAGAAGATAATCTAATGGCAGCCCATCACTTTGTAGCACTGCTGGTACCACATCATTACCACAGCCATTGACCTCCCCCCCAGGCTAAATGATTAAGAGATGCTGCTTAAATGTGATGCTTCAGATTTGTCAGCAGTCTCCAACTTGCAGGAGATGTTGGGGAAACAGCTTTCTTTCCTATGCTTTTGCACCCAGTTTCCTCCTTTCCTCTGAAAGCAGCATTGATAAGAAACAGACTAGAAATGCTTAGTGTCGAAGATTTAGCATATAAACACAGGACAAAAATCCAAAAAGGGGTTTGGTCTCTCCCCAGCTAGGCTTTGTTTGCCCTGGATGAGGGAGTGGTGAACAAATTCTATTTTCAGCCACGCACCCTGCTCTCTTTCTCGCGATGGCTGTCGCTGCCTGGGCAGCTGGGCTCTCCTAACACAGGATCCCTCACTTTGATTTGTGCCTGAACTACTGCTTTGCTGTCAGGTACCTGCAGCCTTGGCTTTG